CCCGCGTGCCGGGCCTCCCAGGCCTGCTGTGAGGCTGCTCTGCAGGGAGGGAGGGACCGCTGGCTGCAGCCGGTCCCCAGTGTTTCTCAGGGATGTGACAGGCCGAGGAGGGACCCTCGAGAGCCTGTTTACAGAGGCAGGGCTTGGGGCTACCGATTGCCCGTGACCACTCCAGTGTCCGCTCCTGCTTGCCGCGCCAGCTCACCAAGCCACAGCATGTCCCCGGGCCCAGCTCCTCCACGGCGAGCAGGGCGGGTCCTGCCTGAGCGCAGGTGTGTGAGTCGGCGGGCATGGTGACAGGACCACACACAGCGCCTGTACACTAGGGCAGGCCGGCGGGGGGACAGCACCGGAGGCCTCTTCCTGGGGAGAGGCGCCATTCGGGGGTGTCTCCAGCTCTGCCCATGGCGGGCCACGCCTCTGCTCAGGCGGCCCGCAGGCCTGACGACCACCCCACCCATAAAGCTGTCCTGTTTACCACAGTGTGCGTCTTCTCACTCGGCTCCCAGCGACTGGCGGTGGGCCCAGCCCACTGCCCGCTCTCGCCCAGGCTGCCAGGGCTGGCTGGCAGAGACGTCCTGAGATGCCAGCCTCGAGGCACGCAGCCTTTGCTGGGGGCGGCAACAGTGCTCTCCAGGACCCCCAGCTCAGCCAGCAGGTGCCCTGTGATGTCCAGCGGGGTCAGCACAGCCAGGGCCAGGACGCTGTGCATGCTGCCTGCGTCTCTCGGGCCCCTGCCCCCACCGCTGCCTGCAGCTCCCAGCCCCCGCCCACCACAGCCACTGTTGCCATGAGAACCCTCCAGGGTGGTGGAGAGAGGGTGGAGAGGGAGCCCGTGCTGTGGGGGTGGCTGTGGGTACTGCGCAGGTGCCCTGGGCCAGACACCCAGCTGATGGCATAGGTGCCTGTGAGGGGAGGGTCACACAGCGAGGTCGCCTGCGACAGCCGGCAGTGACGGGGCTCCAGTGGGCCTGGGCACAGGATGGGACCCAGGACCATCCCATCCCTAGCCAGCACTCAGGCTCAGCACCTGAGGAGGGGACAGGCAGGCGGAGGGAGGCTGCCACCACGCCGCCTAGGAGTGACAGCCCCAGGCCCACAAGGCCATGGTAGGCACAGGAGGGGTGCACGGGGGGCTTCAGCTCTTGGGGCTGCACAGGCCATCTGGCCGCAAATACCGGGCAGCCTCAGGTTTCCTGTGCCAGAGCGGATAGGGCCTGCAGAGAGGCTGCAGGGGCAGGAGTGGCCCATCTGCTCCGGCCTGGGGCTGTTGGCCAGGCTGCTGGCTGCTCGGGCAAGGTGTCCTGGAGGGGCAGTGGCATGGCCTCCTTTTTAGACCCCCATGCCTGTGTCCAGCGGATGTATCGAAGCATCATCCTGTCCTCTGCCTGGCCCCAGGTCCAAGGCAGTAGGAACCCAGCTCCTCTGCGCAGCCTCACCGGGTGCGGCCCCTTTAAGTGTGGTCCCTTCAGCTGCCACTGGTGGCAGCACTGAGCAGCCAGGCCCGCTCGGCCCGCTGCCTGGAAGCTTCTGCCGGTACCGGAGATGCAGCCGTGCTGGGGACACAGCAGAGCCGGGACGGTGGGTGCGCAGCCCACCAGGGTCGAGGCAGCGAAGCAGAGCCCAGGTAGGGGTTGGGGGTGAGCTGTCAAGTGCCCTGCTGTCACAGGCAGGGACTACCTTGGGGCTGCCAGAAAGGATGGGGGGTGTCAGCCTGCAGGCCATACCAGCAGGGACCCTGGGAGGGCCACTACCGGCCAGGCGAGGCAGGGTGACAAGGTGGGGAAGGCCACCTGGCCATCCACGTGGGCTCCGGAAGGGGCCAACCCCACCCCCATCCCCACGGGTGGGGGTGTCACCAGGGTCAGTTTCCAACAGCTGCAGGCGGCAGAGCCGGACTGTCACCTCTGGGTGGAGCCTCTCTCCGTCATCTGCCCTGGTTGCAGCCTGGCCTTGAGCACAGGCTGAGGGGAGCCGAGGGCGCAGTGCCACCTGCAGGGTCAGGCTTGCGTGGGTACGAGGCAGGGGTGGGGCGAGCACTGGGCACTGGCCCTGACCCAGAAAAAGCGGAGAGGGCCAGAAGCCCCTGTATACCTGGGTCACCAGAAAGACACCCACCGGAGGCCCTGGCAGGTGACAGCCTGGCCACCCCTGCTCACCTGGGCACTGTCTGCTGCCGGCCCCAGTCCTGGGCACCACATCCAGACACGAGCCCCAGGAGTGGGCCTGGCCCAGCCCGCCCAGCTCGGCGTGGGGAACTGCAGGTTTCCAAGGAGCGTCCTCAGCCAGAGCCAGAGCCAGAGCGGGAGGGCCCTCTCCAGGGAAGCAGGGGGGGAGGGGGGAGGGGGGGAGAGGCTTCCCCACCCGGCCTGACTCCCAGCTGGCAGCCTCCCCACCTAGTGCACTGCACAGACCCCCTGCACTGCCATGGTCCCACAGACCAGGCCTGGCCTCCCCGCTGCCGCGTGCGTGCCAGCAGTGCCTCTGTGCATCACGCAGTGGGGCGGGCTATTCTCGGGTCCGAGTGCCAACCTCCACAAGCTAGGTGGGTTTCAGCCACCCCCGGCAGTGGGGCTGAAGAAGGGCTCAGCTGTGGGCCCAGGCATGCTCTTTGGGGGCAGCTCCCCGGCCAGGGCCACACCAGGACCTGAGGGGACCCAGGCTCAGGCCCAGCAGACGGTCCCAAGAGCAAGGGCCCTGGCAGTGCAGCAGGAGGTGCCCGTGTCCCTGTGCAGGGCCTGCCAGGGCCACCCTCAGATGCTGCGCTAATCGGGTGGGCGACTGGTGGGCTGTGGAGCTGGCCCCTGTGAGCCGGTTAGGGTGGAGGCTGACAAGCACCAGCCCCAGCTGTGGTCAGAGGGCACAGTCCTGGGGGCCACCCCACCCTCCTGCCCTACCGGCAGGGCCTGTTCCAGAGGAGCTCTCCCCCTAAGCCTGCCCAGGACTCACTGGTGAGGGGAGCAGAGGCCCGCCTGCGCTCCATCCCTGGAAGAGGAGGGGACAGAGTCTGGCATCTGGACGCCGGTTCCTCCTGCAGGTGCTTCCGGAGCAGGCATGGAGCGAGCAGTCTCCCCCGAGGCCAGCAGCCGGGGCTGTGCCGCAGCTGGCTGCACCCCGGGTAAGTGGGGCCGGCACTGGGGCAAGCGGGCCTGGGCTTTGAAGGGTTCTTCCTGACGTCGTCTTCCCCCAGGGCAAAAACCCCGCAAGGCCGAGTGAGCGGGAGCCGCCAGCCTGGGGACCTCTTTTAAGATGACCCGCACGGACCCGCCGGACCTGCTGGGGTC